CAAAAATTAGGGGAGAGTAAATAATTACAGGCTTTTGGTGATGAGTATTTTTCTCAAAAACCTCAAACTTCATATTCTTTGACTTAGTAATTCCATTTCTAAAACTTTATCCTTTGAGAAAAAGTCAGAGATAGACAAAAATTAATACCCAAGAATTTAATTCCCCACATTATTTTTAATAAAGAAAAACTGGACATAACTAAATGCCTAAATTTATTAAAAGTAAGGGTGGCTCAAACATAAGATAGAACAATGAAGCAGGGCATGGTGGTGCACACCTGTAATCCCAGTGACTTGGGAGACTAAGGCAGGAGGACCACAAGTTAAAAGCCAGCCTCAGCAATTCAGCAAGGCCCTGTCTCAAAATAAAACATAAAAAAGGCTGGGGAGGTAGCTCAGTGGTTAAGCACCTCTGGGTTCAATCCTTGGTGCCAAAAAACAAATAAAGATAAAGCAATGAACTTTTTTTTTCTTGATACTGGGGACTGAACCCAGGAGCTCTCTCCATTGAGCTACATCCTCAGCTCTTTGTACTTTTTGAGACAGGGTCTCACTAAGTTTCCAAGGCTGGTCTTAAATTTGGAATCCTCCTGCCTGATAGAGCATCCCTGCAGCAATGAACTTTTCAGATAGACTTTTAAAACACACAGAGGAGAGATTCACTTCCCCAGGTATAAAAAGGAAGAAGGGTCACTTTGCCCAGCCACTTCTCGTGTTCAAGGTTAATAAAGATCTTTTTGGCTTAATTCACTTTACCAGCCACAGCAACATCTATTATCTCTCTTGAATTTTAGAATGACACTGCATGATAACTTCTTATTATCCCCATATTGTAGATAAGAAAATTGAGGCTTACCAAGACAAAGTGACTTATCCCTAGCAATATTAACTAAGACTGAAAACACACAATACTTGACTCTTTCCCACGGAATTTTTTATTTAATAAAATTTTAGAAACATTTTAAGAAATGTGAGAGACCCAGTGCTAAATGCTAAGGAAACAGCACTGAATAGGACACATACTTTCAAATAAGTATGTGCTGAATGTATTAATATTAATGTCTCCAAGGACATTTTCATCATTGTGCCCATTTTATAAGTGTATAACTGAGGCTCAGAAAGCCTAAGTGACTTGCCCCAGGAATATCTGGCTTCAAATCAAAGATCACATACTCCCATTACTCTTGATGTGGTCTGAACCGCGCTACCATCTCACCATCTCCATGCTTCACAAACCAGCCCCAAGGGAAGGTGGAGAAGGACCAGACCCTCCCTGCCTACAGTAGGGGATGAAATGGGAACACATCCAGGCCAGGGTGCCCAGCCCCTTCTGAAGGACTGTCCACAACCAAAGCAAGAGAACAACTTCTACCTTCCTTTCCCCCTGTTCCTTACCAAGCTTCCTCTCTCTCCTTCCTTCAGGGACTACCTCACCCCCAAGGAACAGAATTGACCTCTGCCTACTCAGGGCCGTTGGGGAATCCCCAGAAGCCCCCATCACAACTTCCAAGTATCTCCCCTTCCTAGTCCTCCATCACTTGTAATCCCACCATTACTAACTTTTCCAACAGCCCACACATTCCTGGAAGAGGCAATGCATCTCTGCAGAACCAGCCCTGCTCACCTGCACCAGGTTGCGTTTACGAGTAAAGTCTTGCACTAGGCCAACTGACAAGAAAGGGAATGGGGTACTGCCACTACAGGGATAGAGACCAGTGGAGAGCCAGAGGAGACACAATCTTAGCACAGTATCAGGAGGAAAAAGGGATGAGGAAAGAATAATAATGCCAGTTGACCCCCAGCCCCTACCCCGCCACTCCTCAGGAACATTAATAAATTAGTGAGTCACTTAGAAATCATCATCTGGGAAGGCAGAACCACCACATCCTGTATCACTTTTACCAACATTAAAACAGCCCTGTAAATGAACCACATTTCCAGCTTGCAAAATGAAAATGCTTTTGCCAGCACACCTTTCACCTGGAAAGCGCTCTGAGCAGCATTCATTTCTGCTATCCATGAGAGAAATGATTACCTGTCCTTGGTGCTTATTGCCAAAGCCTCTAAAGGAGAAATGAGTGTGTAAGGAGCCCAGGGGCTGTGCAGACCAGCTGGGAACCTCCCCCAAAGGCAGATTCAGGAGAATAAGTACAAAGGCTCAAACCTGTCCTATGGCTCTTGAGTCCACCAAGCCCCAGCTAGCCTAACTCCAATCTTATAATCAGAGAGCAGCATTTCCACACCTTAGGTACATTCCTCTCCCAGGGAGTAGAAAGATCGCAGCACGGAACCAACTGGTTCCCAACCTCTGGATCAGAGAGTTCAGTGCAAAAAAAGAACCTCCCTAACACAGCAGTTTGCAGAGCACACAGGCAGCATGCAACAAAGCTTCTTCAGTTACCATATAAATCACAGATTCACCCCAAGGTGGATTCAAGTGGCCACCCAACACTGCCCTGGGCTGTTTATCTTCATGGGAGGGCCATGGGGAACAAGGCTCACACTTACCACCCTAGAAGCCCTCAGCCCCTTTCCCATCCCTGTCCCCATCCACTCTCTCTGCACTTACCCCAGCCCCCAAGGAGAGGCATGGCAGCCAGTGGAGGTCCTGTGGAAACAGGATTCAACTCTTCCTTGCTGCTAAGCCAAACCAAAGGCAGCCTATTCTCTCCTCCAGCCTTCACTAACACAACCAACCCACTCGAAGAGTAGGAGTAGGTACCTCTCCACTAACCAGGTTTGACCATGAGCTGGGGAAGAGGGGTCACCATAGTTGGTTTTACTCACTCAACTCCAAATAGAAAGACTCCAAGGACTGACCCAGAGAAATATCTGCCCACCCACCCACCCCAGCAGCAGCCGGGCAAATCTATTCGTAAGCAAAGCAACAAATCAGGAGCCCTCGTCTTTCAGCTCCAAGGCTGGGTAAAAGGATTTCAAACCCAGTCTCTTTGCCTGTTCATGGGAAATCTAGATTCCCTTTCTGTGCCAGAGAAGCCACCAAGCCAGATTTTGTTTACAGAAAATTAGTAAGACAATTCCACCACTGCCAGTGACATTCAGCTCCCACCTCTACCATTTACCCTCAATTTCAAAAACAGGCTTGTAGTTTCACTCCCAACCCCCACTCCGCACCCCCTTAACATGTAGCAAGGCTGACCTAAAGCCAGGATGGGGAGGACCTGCACGAGGTCATCTTAGTCATGCCCTGACCTCCCTGCCAGGGTTGCCAACCAAGCGCTTGCCAGTTGGGTTTCTTAGCCGGCTTCCCGCTGGAGGGAGGTAAACACGACATGCATGCCGCCTGCTCCCAGGAGGGGAGACACACTCAGAGGCCGGATGCCTGCTGCCTCTTCTGCTCCCCAACAACCACCACATGCACACAAAACAGGTTACGTACACAAGCCCCCGCATGCGGGTGCAGAGGGTCCTGACCCCTGCCAAGGAAAGCGCAGAGAAGGGCATGTTCCTGGGGAAGACAGCTGGAGGTGGGGGCCGGGCGGAGGGAAGGAGGCAGCAAACCGGGTGGCCTGCCGCCCAGACAATAACAAAGATGGGAAGGCGAGATTTTCAAAGACGCAGTGGCTGCACCCAGCACTGAGCTCTGGCCTGGCTGCATCTTCCTGCCAGGGCACGCCTGGTCCCCTGGGGCACCACGGCCATCAGAGAAAGGCTGAGGGTCCTGCCCAGGGTTGGGCTTGGCAGCTGGGGCAGGGAGCCAGCTGCAGGCAGTGGTGGGGATGGAAAGAGCAGCTCTGGGCTGATGGAAATTAGAGGTCTGGCAATTCTACTGGGATGTGGAGGGGTACTCTCTGGTAAGATGCTAGGGTCAGTTAAAGAAGACACTCAACCTTGGGCAGGAGTTAGGCTATAACTTGCACTCCTTTGCCGGCTGGAACCAAGGAGGAGGGGAGAGACATTTTCATTCTACCTATGCTTCCCCTACAGGGAGTGCCAATCGCCAATCGTACACGCGGACACAGCCCAGTGAAGGCAGCTGCCAGTGGCCTGAGATGTTGGGGCTGAATGCTGAAAAGGCTCCTTGGTGCACCCCGCTCTTTCACCTCCACAGGCTAGGCAGGGACACGTTCTAACTGGTAGAAGAATCCAACGCTCTGCCTGAGCAGAGAGGAAAGGTGCCTGTGGTTGGCACCACTCAAGGAGGAGGACCCAGTCCCCAAGACGCTGTGCCCGCCCAGTGCCCCAACGTGCGAGGCCAGGATGGCTTGCCCTTGCGAGCTGTAGCCTGCTCCACTGCCGGTGACTCCCCAGCTGGCTGAACCACCTTCTTCCTCTCCTGTGCCCCACAGGCCACCTCCCTCTGGAATTTCCACACCTGCTCCCTGCTTGCCAGGAGCAGGAGATACCCCTGGGAGTGTAGAAGTGAGGAAGGGAAGCAGCTGCCCAGGCTGGGAAGGCCCTTCTTCCTGGCCATGCCCCTGAACTCAGGGCCTGGGCACTGCCCGCCCCAGCCCCCAGCGGAGCACGTGCCCTACTTAGAGCAGATGTGCCCCCTTAGCGGCCCAGCCCCCTGCTCCTCCCCTCCAGATGTTCACCCTTTTCCTCACCACCGCGCGGCCGGGTCTCAGCAAAACCCAGACGAAAAATGTCTTTTGTATCGGACACCCGGGGGGCTCCCGAGGCCAGGGGATGGGTCCTAGGGGTGGAGGCGCCACTTCCGTCCCCAGCTCCGGCACTGCACGGCCCGGGAAACAATGCCCACCTCGGCCAGGCGAGACCGGACTTCTCGGCTAGCGCACTTCCCGCCGGCCTCGCCCCGGGCCTCGGACACCCCCTCCTCACCTCACCCTGGGGGGAAAAGAAAGAGTCCTCGCCTCGGGCCCCGGTCCGAGGTGGTCCCCACAAGTTCCTGAGGGCGGCGTGGGGTCCCCTCCCCCAGGTAGCGCGCCTGAACCGGGGCTCGGGCTTTGTCCCCGCGCCCTCGGGGCGCATCCCGGGCGGCGGCGCGGGGAGGCCGGGCCGGGCGGCGGCGGGCTCACCTCTCATTGTCCGCGGCGGAGGCGGCGGCGGCGGCGGCTGCGCTCCGGAACCCCGGCAGGATGTGGCGGAAGCTGTGGTTGCGGTCCAGCTTGGGCTGGCTCTTGGTGCGCTTGATGGAGCCCTTGAGGCGGCGGCTGAGGAAGCCCTGCGCGCGGGGCGACAAGAGGGGGAAGGGGAGGCGGGGTTAGCGCGGCGGCGGCGGGCCGGGACCCGCGCGGGACCCGCACCCTCGCTGGGCGGCCGCGCGGCCGAGGGCGGGCCGGGCTCGCGCTCGGCCCCAGCAGCTCGCGGCCAGCGCCGCCGCCCGCCCGCCGACCGAGCGCCGACGGTCCGGCCCGCGCAGCGCGGCCCAGCCCACCCCGCGCCGCCCGCCCGCCAGCCCAGCCCGCCACGTCGCCCCCGCCCCCTAAGCCGCTGTTGCCATGGCGACGCCGAGCCGAGCCAAGCCGACCGCGGCCGAGGCCGCCCGAGCCCCCCGGCGCCGGGGCGAGAGGGGCGGGGCCGGGGGGCGGGGCCGTGGAGGGGCGGGGACCCCCGGGGGCCTGGACAGACCGCCGCCTCTCACCTCCGCCTGGCCTTGCAGCCTGTCGCGGGGAAACGAGGTCACCTCCCTACCCACCTGGAGCAGTACACGCCCCCTGCCCCGTCGAGGAGTGATAAAGCGCTTTCTCCACCTGTGAGGCCGCGCTGTCAGCCCGCGGTTGCACAGATGGGGCGAACTAAGGCTCAGAGAGCAGGCGCGTGGTCCTCTGAGGGGCCAGCCGACCGCCGCCTGGTACCCTGACCACCTAGACCTCTAACCCGAGTGGCAGCCTCTGACTGTGCAGGTGGAGTCTGAAACTACTGTACCCCAGCAGGGACAACCACCTTGGGGACAGGAGCCCTAACACTTAGTTTAGGGCGAGGAACAAGGGACTGAAGTGCAAGGTACCCCTATTGTGTTTTTCAAGATTGGGGACACCCCACTGGGACCATTCTTCCATTGACCAGGCTGCATTGGAACTCAGGTTACAGCTTGAAGCTGCCCCATTCCAAGTGCTCTGGACTAATGGAAGAGCTGCAGAGAAGACATGGGTTGCATCAGTGCTCCCTTTACAGGTGATGGGGACATAGGGACTCCAGAGGCTACCCACAGCCTGGGTTCTGCAGGGCTTGGAACATGAAGGCAGCTCAAGGCAGGAAAACTGCAGGGAGGAATCCCTGAGGGAAGAAGAGTTTTCTGGGAAGGGTTCTGGCACACACTGCCCCTACCTCCAAATCCAAGTGATTGAACAACACAAGTGAATGGAAGAATAGCTTATTTTAAAGTTGATGTTGTACACAATCTGAAAACTATATTTCATCCACCATGCAATAAGAGTTGCCTTGGCAGCCCTCTCTGGGTCCAGGGAGTAGGTTGGACATTTGCTGTAGAGCTGAATTTGTCCAGCTCTAGGGCCAGAGAACCATAAACACAACAAGGTCAAACCTTAGCTGTATGAATTATCTCCTATCAGTCACACAAACAAAAAACAACAGCAAAACATTATCTGCACATGAAGCCTTGCTCAGAGAGGTAAAGTGATTTACCCAAGAACACCCAGCCTCCAGGTCTGCCTAATGCCAGAGATTTTTCCATAAGACATCCCTCTTTTGCCCACCCTCTTCAAGCTTTCCCATTTTCCTATTTTTCTCTCCTTACTTATTCCTCCTCAACCTTTCACATCCATAGGAGACCTATCCCTGTGATCACTTGTCAGCATTCTGCACATCCTCTAACATCTACCTGACATATCACCTCACCCAAAGGCCTTCCTGAATGGTGGAGTCCAAATGCATCTGACTCTGCAGCCCAGCATTACCTGTCAAGGTATTCAAATGAGCTGCAGCTCAGCAAAAATCTCTCAGTATCAGAGGTGGCAGAAGGAAGCCTCCTTCAGAAGGGTGACCCGCAGGCAAGGAACCGCAGACTTGGAGCACCAGACTCTGGAAGACAGCATGCAGGCAGCGATCTGCACCTCTGTGTAAACTCTGAGCTCTCCCCACCTCAGCCTCACCTGGATTGCCTGCATGGGACTGTCCCAGGTATTGTGTCAAGCAAGCTCCCCCAAAGGCCTTGTACCTTTTCCTTGGATTTTATTTTCTACCCTGATGAAAATGTCAGTTTTTACACTCTTGTGGTACAAAGAACCACAAAGCATGTTTCACAATTTATGGGGCTCATTCTGCAGCAATATTGACAGCTTGATCCTATTTCTGAGTTTTTAAAAAATAAAGTCCTCTCCTCTCCAGGAGGGTGGGTGAATGTATGCCACTTCCTCTTCCCCACTCTTCCTCCTATGAGACACTTAATGCTTCTCTGACAGCAGCTTCCTCTTTAAAACCTACCGTGGATGGCATCTACCCCCCCACACTGGAAATAGCAATGACCTTGGGACTCAATGCTCTTTATAACATCCACTCAGTCACCTTATTGAGAGCCTGGTGTGCATTAGACACAGTGACCCTGACAGTCAAGAACACTATGGAGTAAGCAGTGTACACTAGGTCCAGGAGTTCAGATCATGGGGAGAGTGATTTCTCAGGAGAACAGGGAGGGTTCCCTTTGGCCCCACCACCATACCCCATACCCCATATCTGCCCTACAGACCTTGTTTCCCACAGGGACCCAGCTCAGGTTCCTGCATATGACAAATATTCATCATCCTAAAAGGGGACTCAGTTCCAAAAGACTGCATTACTGAGGTGACTGAGGCCCAGATTTTTCCAAGGTCACACAGCATGGTTAATCAAAGACCCCAGACTCTGGTCCCCTGCTCTGCCCAAACTCACAGCTTGCATTCTCTCCTTCACCGGGACAGAAGGCCTGGCGGGGGTTGGGGGGAGTCCTCACCCAGCTCTGGATAAAGGGAAACAAGGCTTTTCTCCTGTCCCTTGGAAGACAGTAGCTACACCCCCGAACTCCAGAGGACAGACTGACTGATCTTCAAGTCAGAAAGTCATATTCTAGGTCCCAATCAAGGGACTGGGGAGTGGCTCAGTGGTAAAGCACTTGCCTAGAATGCAAGAGGCCCTGGGTTCTATCACCAGTGCTGCAAAAATAAATAGAGAGAGAGAGAGACCCAAGTCAACTTTTAACTAGTGGCAGTCGGGAAATCATGCACCCTTTCTTTCAGAGTTCTTGCTGTCCTCTTCCTGGGCTGTGCTGGAGCCTGCTCCCAGGCCGGTCAGTGGCTGAGAAGACTGGTATGCAGGGCTGCAACCCAGCGGCACAGACCCCTCACTAAGAAATGCCAGACAGGTCCCCTTGTCTCTGTGAAATGGGGGAGCAGGCTGCAGTGAGGACTAAGGAGGCTGATAAAGCTCTAGGCTCAGCGTGTAGCACACAGTAAGTGCTCTCAGGAAAAGCCAAATGTTATTCTCACATCAGATTCCCACACGAATGCACAGGCTTGTTAAACTCATTGCTGTAACATATGCTATGTCCAGCTCATCTTGAGGGTGAGACGTGGTTTCTACTATTACTCCCTAGCCCACCCAGCCCTACACGCAGTCTGATCCTCTTAACCACAATGCTCAGGACCTGACTTTATCCCCACCTCTCCAGAAAGCTGCCCCCCAGTATGGGGGCTGGCCTTGCTGACCAACCCAGTTCTCCCACAGCACCTGGTTCAAATCTTAATTCAGACCACCTGTGTGGGGGCCGATTACTGGACCTTTCTGAGCCTCGGTATTCTCATCTGTAAAACAGGCTAATGATGATGCCTACTGTATGGGATTATAGGAAGAGTTAAATAAGGTCCTCTATCACCAGGAAAACAGTAAAGATCAAACAAGTACAGAGTTGCTAGCTTTATTATCACTATTACTGATGTTGGTTCCAGTACAACCACCTCTTTGTGTCCCAAGGGGCACATGACCACCACAGGCAGGCGTCTATCCTGGCTCTCCCAGGAGCCTGAAGGCCACCTGGCAGTGAGGACAGAGACATGAATGAACATGCTTGCAAAATGATCCTGGAACCACAGAGTGACATCCAGTTTGGAAGTTCTGAACTCTTTGAACAAGCACGTTCTTCTAAAGCAACCTCAGAGACTCCCTGGGTGCACAGGGCACAGGGCGGGCAGGACTGCTCAGGTGACGCCTCGGCTTTCATCCCAGGGAGCAGGGACTGATGTCTAAAGCGCAGCAAGCAGCCCCCAGAGTTCATGGGGACCACGCGGCTCTGTCCCCAGATGGGGCACTCCACCTCTGAGAGCACAGCCCTGTGCCTGTGCGCTAGTCAGGCAGCTGCGCTGGTTTTGGAAGGCCCCAGGGCTTTTTTGACAAGCTGCACCCTCAGCCTGTCCCTGATGCCTGGGTCTGGACAGCTGCGTGGCCTCTGCCCTTCTCTGAGGATGGACACAGCCCCTTCCCGGCTGACCCACAAGCCCCCTGGACTTCTTCCATATCACTGACCAAAGCACAGGGCAGACCCACATGGGGAACCAGGCCCGAGGACTGCTGGGTCCCCAAGCAGCTCCCCACGCCAGCTGCAACCACGAGCCACTGTCCTGAAGTCTGGCTCACGCCCCGCTCCTTCTCGGGAGCCTCTCCAGTCCTCGCGATTGCAGCCGCCTGGTTTCTTCATTCGCCCATTTCAATCAATTCCAAGTGATGATGATGATGATAAGTGACCAGCTATTGAGCTCTGGTTCTGCCAAGTGGCTGTGTCCCATAGTAACTCACTGCATACCTCCCACTCCGGGGGGAGACCTGCTCTGGAGGCCCAGGGCCTCTAATAGGAGGAGTCCTTAAGAGGATGCAGGCTGCAGAATTGAGACCGTTTGGGGTTGTTAGGACAGGAAATGGGGGCTTGGAGAAGCAAAGGCACTAGCTGAGCTGTCATGTGGTAGAGCTGGGACTCTAACCAGGAAAGTCCTGTTCCTGGGTGAACAGGGGAGAGACCCCTCCACACCATGTGAAACTACAGCTCAGATCATCCGCCTCCATGCCGACCCAGGTAGAAGGGGAGGCACACAGGACCCACCTGGAAGCTCAGTCCTGTCCTCATGTGCACCTGGCCCTCAGCCCAGCGGCAGCAGCTAGGAAACCACGGGCTTGCGTTCCAGCACCACCACCCACACACCGGGGAGCCCTGCATCGAGACACCAGTCTCTGCACCAC